ATATGATGAAATGATTTTTGCAGAAGTGTTTTATTTTCAATGCCTATGCCTGAAAGCAAAGACAAATATATTTTTATAGCAACTTGATATGTGAATATTGTTGTAGTGTGAGGAAAGTGCTTATTCCTTTTCTGCTTCTTGTGGCTGGGCATTCTCTATATTGCAAACATTACAACTGTAGGACTGAACTCATTTTCCCCAGGATACACCCCGTGGCACTGCTTTGAGCAACAGAATATAGAAACAACCCAGAGAAAATAAGCTCCTGTATTGACACAACACTTAAAGGACAGAATAAAATCCCTTTCAATATCCAAGTGTCTTTGCTTCCCCTCTATTACAGGCATGGGATCTGTGAGCCATATGCAAAGCATTGAATTCATTTTTCTGTCCCAGACCTCCCAATAGGATTATATTCCTGAAATACAAAATGGTTATTGTAATAACTCTTTATAATTACAATTTAATCTGCAAAAGAAAGGTGTTCAGCCTCTGGGTAATGGGAAAAGCTATATTTCCTGGGGGGCCCAGTGCCACCCTTTTTGTAAAAAGTAAATTTCAGAGTTTCCTATATCATAGTTCATTGTGTCCACGTATTTACATTTGTTTTGTTCCTTCAGACATAATGTCTTTCTTAGAGGTGGGGCAGCAGTGACTCTGGCTCCAATATTACGTGAATGTTTATTAAGATAGTAATAAAATGTTGATATTCATGATAAGAAATAGAATCAGATAGAACAGGAATGCCACTTAGCAAATAAATCTTACTGTTGGTTTCATACCTTTGTGTGTCTCAAATTTTATACTAAGATTGTTGCATGGTTTCCTTAGTAACCATCTCATACATGTTATAGAGTTACATGTTCAAGTGCCTACTTTAATTGATGCATTATTGCTGAAGTGAATTTGCCAGTCTAAAGCCATTTGTTAGATCATTATGCAAACAAGCACTCAAAATATAATTGCAACTTGAGTTTTGTAGATATGGATCTTTATTTGTTGGCAGCAATAATTTTATAATAGCTGGTCAACTTCTTGAGTTGCAGATCAGGGCATACCCAGCATATAAGAATATCTGTATATGTAATAGAATCTACACAATTAAAGCTACAGGGAAATCAAATCATTGCTGTTGCTGCTGGTTCCAAGTAATAATTAATGCTAGCAGGGGAATAACAAAACTGGGGAGACAAATTACATTGCACACTGCAAGCACCAAGTACTAGAAGGGCTGCTCTGTTTCAAATTTGCCATCAGTGACTGGTACCTAAGGTTTTGTGTGTGTGTGGGGGGGAGAACTTGGAGCTTAGATTCAGAGTTCTATTATCTGCTTCCGACTTTCCTCCTCAACATTGTGGTAGAGGAAATCCTGGGCTCCAATTGGGCTTCCAACTGTGTTCAGTCCAATTTAGCCCAGAATTTTCCCTTTGTTGTTGTTGTTAGTTACAAAGTCATGTCTGACCCATCGTGACCCCATGGACAACGTTCCTCCAGGACTTCCTGTCCTCTACCATCCTCTGGATTCTATTTAAGCTCACGCCTACTGCTTCAGTGACTCCATCCAGCCACCTCATTTTCTGTCGTCCCGTTCTTCATTTGCCCTCAATTTTTCCCAACATTAGGCTCTTCTCCAGTGAGTCCTTCCTTCTCATTTGGTGGCCAAAGTATTTGAGTTTCATCTTCAGGATCTGGCCTTCTAAAGAGCAGTCAGGGTTGATCTCCTCTAGGACTGACCAGTTTGATTGCCTTGCAGTCCAAGGGACTCGCAGGAGTCTTCTCCAGGATCATAGTTCAAAGGCCTTAATTCTTTGGCACTCAGCCTTTCTTATGGTCCAACTTTCACAGCCATACATTGCAACTGGGAAAACCATAGCCTTGACTATACACACTTTTGTTGGCAGGGTGATGTCTCTGCTCTTTAGAATGCTGTCTAGATTTGCTATAGCTTTCCTCCTCAAGAGCAAGCATCTTTTAATTTCTTGGCTGCAGTCCCCATCTGCGGTGATCTTGAAGCCCAGGAAAATAAAATCTGTCACTACCTCCATTTCTTCCCCATCTATTTGCCAGGAATTGAGAGGGCCGGATGCCATGATCTTAGTTTTCTTAATGTTGAGTTTCCCCTATTTGAACCCAACTCTGATCCTTTCTGCTGTATTACCCTCATCTTATACTTAAGATGGCTTAACAATGCTGGAAAGATGATGAAATTACTTTCTACCTCTTGGGTCATTTTCATATTTTATACAGCTTTCACAATTAATCAAAGCTACAATAATGTCACCAAAATGGGAGGAACAAAAATCTACAAACATTTTATTACCAGGATGGTGGATCATTTATAACTTTTATGGATTCTCCTGGAAAAGTTACAATAGGCTGCCACCTGTCAATCTAGCTCTCCTAACACATCCTAATATATTACCTGTTTACCGATGACTTCTTCCGCTAGCTCAGCTCTAAGAAAAATAGAAAAAAAGGTCCTTTGGAACTTCCTGCCCCCAAATCTTGAAAAACAGAACTTAACAAACCTAAAGAAGGGGAAATTGTGCAAGTGTAAAGGCTTGCACAGAGAGAAAGCTTTAAGGAAAAATGTCTTTATTAAACCGATGGAGCCAAATATGTAAATATAAAATGGAGTAGGAGCTTATTGGGAAAGAGGAAAACAGAACAGCAAGAAAGGACAACAGTGATAAATACATAATTTCAAATGAAACCAATGCAGCTTTGCCTCTTGTCTAATATTTGGGGCTTTAGCGCATGTTCAAAGTTGAGGATAGTAGGAGAAAAATAATCTAGCCTCCTTGAAAATTGCTAAGCAGACCCTTTGGTATCCTCTTCTGTACACTCTCCTCAGTTTTATAGAGTACAAATAATAAATAAAATCCAGCTTCTTTGAGGAAATTATTTACTCCTTTGCTCAATCAAGCGAAGTGTTCTATTTATTTTATTTATTATAACATTTATAGTCCACCCTAATTCATGGCTAGCTAGCAAATCAGAAAATTATATAGTGTCTGGATCCATTTTCCTAATGATCCTCGGTTTGATGGTAAAAATATGTCTAGCTTCATAAATTATGCTGTTATGTTAGAATGGATAATGGAAGAAGTTTATTTGGGAATCAGAAGATTAATTTCTTCAATAAGGCTAAGGTTAGTGAGGCTGGAATATGTTATTTAAACATATCTCAGCCTCCCAAGTGACCCATTAAGCATCCATTAATTCAGAAAGGGAAAGAAAGTATCCTAGAGTTTAAGCCCTAGAGTTCAGATATATAAGTCTGTGGCATGTTGGCATGGTAGTGGGAAATCAATTGTTGTATTTCAGGCTTCTTTCTTGTATACAATAAAGTTTCTACTCTTTCCAAGATGTATATAGAAGTTTTCAAGAGCATAACTAAGTGTATGGAGACATGTAATTTACTGCTTAGCTTGGGTGTGATGATTGACACTTCTATTCAGTAACCTGGCTCTTTCTGATAACTCTGTAATTGGCTGGATCAAATATATAGTAAATAAACATAGTGTCATGAAGAACGCTAACGAGATCTTTTGAAATCTTACATTTACACTATGGCCATACTGTATAAGGTTGTAATTTACTGTATTGAAATGGAACAGCCTAAAGACAATACAATAATCTGAATTTGATATCAGTAAATTCAGTAGAAGGCTTGGGGAACACAACCCAACTTTCACTAAAAGAGAGGCTATGCAACAGGATAGAGAATATAAGTACTGTCTGCTATCCCATTATGTAATTTTGCAGTCATACAAATTAATGATAGTCTGAGTCTGGCAAATAATTTGAAGGAAATCTCTCACAGGCAGAGGAAACTGAAATGGAGTAAGAAATTGATAGCATTACAGTTGCAATTCAGAGTGGGAAGAAAATACCTAACAAGCAAAGATAGTCTTAGAAACTCTCAGATTACTAAAAAAAATCAGGTTCCAGGATGATTTATCACCCAGCTTGTTCACCTGCCTTGCCTGTGAAGCTGTTCTTAATCTACTACATATGTGGAAGAAGGAAGAAAGTCCTTTAAAGTAACCAGGTTCTAGCTTTTAACATCACCTGTATTGTACCTGACTGTCCCCTCAAATTTTTAAAGATTAATAAAAAAGCAAATAGGAACTTGCTATATTAAAAGTAGGCTCTAACATTTATTTTCAGGAATGTCTCTGGGTTCATAAAGATATAACTGGAAGTAGAAGCATCTTTGGAGGCTAGTTTATCTTCTGATAAATGGGTTATTTGTAAATAATCTTGGTCATAATAGCAACTATTTTATAAGCAAGCACATTTCCCATACCAGCCATTTTGTGAGTGAGTTTACTACATGCTTCAAAATCAAAATGCGTCATCAGCCCTACTGCTTACCTTTGGACTAGGCCAGCTAGAATAATATTTACTTACCATAGTCTACTTGCAATCAAATAAAATCAAGTAAAAGTCCTAAAAGATTATTTCAGACAGCAGTATAAGGAAGGGGGGAGGTTGGGTGGGAGGGTGGGACAGAGGAAGGAAGGAAGGAAGGAAGGAAGGAAGGAAGGAAGGAAGGAAGGAAGGAAGGAAGGATATAGCGGACAGAATCCATTGAAGCATGAGGCCTCCTTCCACTTCCCAATGGGGCCAATTCATAAATATTCCATGATATTGTGGTCAGCAAAGAAGATACAATTTGGAGAATACAAACATCAGCTCCAGGAACAGCTGGTTACCTGGGTAACATAATCCAACTCATTACTTATTCATGGAGTTTGATGCTAGGTTCAGCTTTGGAGCTTCTGTCCAACCCAATCTCTTCTATACCTCTAGAGTTAGCAGCTTGTCATCTTCACAGCTTCTAATTCCATGTCAACTATTATTGCAAGAAGCAGATGTGCTTCTCCCTTTTTTCCCTTCTGAAACTGCTTCTTGGTCCATTTATGAATGTTTTATACTTCCCCAACCTTTACTGAAATTCAGAATCATTACTAAAAACTCCCTATTTGATTTAGGAAAGAAGAAATCATATGAAGCATTTGGGAACAGCAGCTGAAGATGGGACATAACTTCTAAAAAATGAACTTATCAAGTGGTAGAGCCACAGCTGTGTCATAATGATGCCTTTGCTTTTAGAGAAGGTAAGTATAGTGCACCAAAAAATAACGTAGAGTTTGGGATCCCCTGTTCTGTTAGCTGCATTGGTTGCCACTGTGCTTTTGGATGCAATTCAGGAACAACTGTTCTTCTTCCCAATTACCTCTACCAACTCATTAGGTTCAGCAAGAAGGATCCACTTCAAGACTCAACTATTACAGAGTGCCATCTGGTGGTGCCCAAAAAAGAGCCTTTCTATCATGACACATGCCCTTTGGAACATAATTCCCTCAAGGATTAAATTGCCCCTAATCAGCCCTCTTTAAGGCCCTAAGTAAAAGTAAAGATTCCTCCCACACCTGTCCAGTCATATCCAACTCTAGGGAACAGTATTCACCTCCATTTCTTAGCTAAGGGAGCCAGCATTGTCTAAAGACACTTCCATGAACATGTGGCCAGCATGTCTCTACACCAAGGTTCACAGAACACTGTTACTTTCCCAACAAAGTGGTACATATTTATCTACTTGCATTTACATGCTTTCGAACTGCTAGGTTAGCAGGAGCTGTGGCAAGTAACAGCAGCTCACCTCACTGCAGGTCTCAACCCAGTTGACAAACTCAGTGTCTTTAACCCTGGAGCCATCAAGATATTGTTTTGCCATCTGGCCTGGGGATCCAGGTGTGTACCTCACCCTCTGCCACAGTTGTGCTCGTGTGTGGGTGATTTTCTACCTCAACTGTGAATTATGTTTTTTTCTTGTTTTGTGTTTTTTATGCTATTTTAATTATTATTAGATGCTCAGTGTCCAGATTTTGAGATGGGTGGCCATATACATTGAAATAATAATTAAATAACTCCTCTTCAACTTCACACATCCAGAATAGCTTTTTGGCTAATGCAGAAAAAAGCATGTATTTCAGATGATGCACTGCTTTATTGGTAGCCTTTCCGTGCATGCTGAATGATGTAAGGTACTTCGGCATATTCTGACTACCTCTTTTGGTTGATATATGTCATCTACTTCCTTCAACTCGTAAAGGAAATTCAAAATCCACAACCATCTGAGTACCAGTAATACTTTTACAGAATTATCATCCTGGCAGTGTAATGTGAAGTAATTCAAAACTATCAGTCTAGGCTAAAAGTAAAATACTGACAGTCCCATTATGCTTAAGGCATATCTCGCTGCTAACCTTATTCACACAATGAGATCCCGAGTCAGTTGAAGTTAATGAACTGCACCAAGCTGTAGGGCTATGATGCCAGTTCCTGTTACTGTAGCTGTACAGATATGTACTGAGACAGCTGTGGACTAAATGAAATATCCTGGCCCAATTCTTTATGAGATTAGGAATGCAAAAGGAGCATGTCTGATTGGTGGAATCAGAATTCTTCATACGTCATCCAATACTTACAAGGGGAAAGCATTATGGCACCCACTCCATTTTGGCACCAAACACACAGAGACTATAGACCCGTGATGGCGACCCTATGGCACGAGTGCCAGAAGTGGCATGCAGAGCCATGTTGCCTGGCATGCGCAGCATTGCCCATTCCATTTCCAGGTTTCCGGTGCACGCATGCGCACCAGCCAGCTAGTCTTCTGGTAACTGGTGCACATGCACACATGACAATCAGCTGGCCTTAACGAGTGCGGCAGTGCCAGAAACTGGAAGATCAGCTGGCCAGTTGATCGACCATTTCCCGGTGCACGCATGGCCACTGGGCAACTCTTCTCAGTACATGTGCTCACCGGCCATGCTGTGGACGTCCACTTGCAGCCCCAGGACATCCATCCCCTTTCTAGCCACGAGCGCTGCCGCCAATCACTTCCCTGCATCTGCCCACTTGCCTGCCTCGTCACCGCCACCATCACTGTGAGGAAAGGCCCCAAAGCTGCCCTGCCCAGGATCCATGTGGGCTGCCGCAGGGGGAGGCCAGGCATGGTTGGCTGGATGCTGCCCAGAGCGCAAGGCTGGCAGGAGGAGCCAACGCTGCCTCTTAGCCAGCGCCAATGGTCTGCCACCACAGCCTGCCTGCCGCCACCCTCTCTGCTCCGCCGGCTGCTCCTGCCACTGCCAGGGAAGCTTCTCTCCATCCCCACCAGAGGCTTGGGGCCATGCAAGAAGCCCGCTTGGGCAGGGAGGGAGGAAAGCGTGCCCCTTCACCTCAATTCCAGCAATGACAGTTCTTGTACTGCTGCTTCCCCAGCGGCAGCAGGAGCAGCGGGCCAGGGCTTCCCTTCCTCCCCGCCGGAGGCTTGGGGCTGCACAAGAAGCCTGCTTGGGTGGGAAAGGAGGGGAGCCCTGGCCCATGTGTCCTCGCCACCACCACCCCCTCTCCCTGGGGAGCCGCGGCTGTCACACTACCACTTCCGGCTGGGATATTGGAGCAGCCAGGAGAAGAAGCCGCTGGCAGGGAGGCAAACTGCCCCAGGAGGCCTGGAGGAGAGCGCAGCTCCTCACTCATGGAGACCCGCCAGCCGGGAAGCAATTGCGGTAAGCGGTAAGAGGCATACTGGCTGGAAAGTGGTCATGCTCCCTTGGAAGAAGTGGCAGGAGAGGGTTGCACCAACCTTTGTAGGCGTGAACAGCCTGCCGCCATTCACACCGTCAAAGTTTGATGCAGGAGGCTTTCCAGGCCCAAAATGGGGCACAGGGGAGCGGGGCGCATGCGCGGGGGTGTATGATAAACTGTGAAAACTGAAGTTATCTTAGGAAAGGCATTGATCAGTTGGAAACAGCTTGATTCTCTCATTTGTTTTCACCAAGAAAGCAAGCAAGCATTAAAATATGCTACAATTGCTCCCCAGAAGCTTAGTGGTAGACAAGTAATAGAATTTGTGTGTATGTGGGTGGGTGCGCCCGCATGCATGTGTGTAGAGAGAGAGAGAGAGAGAGATTTCCAAGTCATCTAACTACAGAATAAAAGCCACTTTTAATTTATGGACTGCAATCTACCATGCTGATTTTTGATTTCCCAACTTAACTCAGTCAGCTGCTTATTTGGCTGCCTTTGATTAACAGAGTCATGGACATCTGAAAGTAAAAAAAAACCCCGTAAATAAAATTGATTGGAATGATCAGAACGTTTGCTAATTTCAGAAACATCAACTCTGACCATTTGCTAGGATAAAACGGGCAATGTAATAAAATGTTTTTAACAATTTCAATAACCCCTTTGCCACATCGGGTAGCACATTTATATCTATTAATATAGAAAAACAAGACTCTGCATGCAACAGTAATGACCACACAAACAATATTTGTTCTTGTAGACAACTAGATATATTCTTCATGTAAACGTTGATGGGATTTTTTTTCTGCTTTCCTGTCTTAGTGTGGATTGCCATCTGCTGGTAGGCTCTATGACTTAAACTATTATAGTTTTTATTCAAAAAAACAATAATAAAATTATGGAATTTGAAGGGACCACAAGACCCCTACTTCAACTTTCGAAAAAAAGCTATTTTGAACCATTTTGAGAGATGATTTATCCAGCCTTTTCTGAAAAACTCTCTAGAGACAGAGAAGCCACCATCTCTGTATTTAGACTGCCCCATTGTGTAGCAGATTGCACTGTCAGGGTGTTCTTCCTAATATTTAAATGAAGTATAAATAATTTCAATTTATACATGTTATTTCTGATCCTAGTTTTTGTGACAACAGAAAAAAAAATCATGATTATTTTCCCTATTGCACCTTTTAATGTTCCGGAATACTATATTACGGCTCTCCTTCTCTTTAAACTATTGTCTTCCATTCCCTTCAGCCTGTTTGTAGAGCCTTTTAAATTTCTGTGGCATCTTTGTGGTCCTTTTCTGAACCTATAATAACTTGTCAATATCCTTCTGGAAATGTGCCCAGAATTGTATACAATACTCTAGGTCTGGTCCACCAGTACAGTTAGAGCAGAATGCTAAAAGGAATTCATACATCTTTGATGCAATGGCTTTTCTGATGTAGCTAACAACTGCATTAGCTAAAAGTCTGTAGGGATTCTCAGTCATCCAGGTCATGGTTATCCCAAAGAAGCTTTTTCAGGAGGCAACTGGACTTTCTTGTTTTTTTCTTTGAAGACATTTCACTTCTCATCCAAGAAACTTCTTCAGAAGAAACTTCTTGAATGAGAAGTGAAACGTCTTCAAAGGAAAAAGAAAAGTCCAGTTGCCTCCTGAAAAAGCATTTTTGGGACAACTGCATTAGCTCTTCTAACAACTGTCTCATACCATTACCTCATGTGTAGCTGTTTGTCAATGATTATACCCTACGTAGTGGCTTGTGGAGGAGGTGTTTTTTAATAGCCACAAAATGATTCACAAAAGGAAGAATGGGGGCTGAGTGCTGGCTAGCTAGCTAGCTAGGTTTTTGTTTGCTTGTTTGTTTATTAACATCCAAGGTGCTGCTAGAGATTTTTTTTGCACATCCAAGAGGCAAGTAACAGGAACAGTGGTTGGAAGTATCTATAATGGGATGTAGCTACTCAAAATAAAAAGTTGTCAAATTGGGGAGTGGCTCTACAAGTTACAGTATCTGGAAAGATAAATCTGTACTTTCTCTAGCAGCTTGCTGAGTGAGGGGTTGGAGAAAGGGGAGAGGGAAAGAAAAAAATAATAGCAGAAAGAAAGTAGAGTTGGTGGCCCCCAGCCTTAGAGAATGTAACTCCCCATAGAAAATACTGTCCTAAAGAGAAGCAATAGGAAAATAAAATACCTTAAGTCACCAGAAGGAAAATTTATGACTCAGAATCACCAGAATTGTGTTCTTTGTGTCAATCAGCATCTCTCTCTCCCTCTTTCACTCTCTCCCCCTCCCTGATCTCTAGTTTAATGTGAGTTACTACAGAATTAACACTTCCTCATCCCATGAGGTAAGACCTGAAAATATGTAGGCAAATATCTGTCTTACTCTGATATTGGCCTGTTTTTAGTATATACTGTAATTCTCTAGCTGTCAGGTCACACTCATGCCTAGAATGATGACAATGTGAGCCAGCTACATCCCCCCACCCCCAATGCCATTTTCACTGCAAAAATTGTTGGTTTCAGGACAAGCTGCACCAAACAAAAACTGAGAGCATCCTCCAGGAGCTGAACTGGAGAGACATCAGGATCTCTGGCAGAAGTCATCTTCTCCTTGCAGTAGCTTCGCATCTCCTGCTTCTGGCATTTCATTTGTATTTGACATATCTAAATGGTATATTATATTTAACAGCCTCTTTCCTCTGGGAGATCAAGACAGCTTACAAGGTGGCCAGTCTATTTCTGCTTAACTAGCACTATGGGATAGGTTACACCGCATGGTGGCACAGTGGTTAGAATGCAATACTGCAGGCTACTTCTGCTGCCTGCTGGCTGACTGCAGTTCAGCAATTCAATTCTCACCAGCCCAAGGTTGACTCAGCCTTCCATCTTTCCGAGGTCGGTAAAATGAACCAGATTGTTGGGGGCAATATGCTGACTCTGTAAACCGCTTAGAGAGGGCTGTAAAGCACTGTAAAGTGATATCTACAGTAAGTCTACATGCTATTGCTATTGAGAGAGATTGAGAGGTCCAAACTCCTCCACTATCTGATGGAACTTGAACCTGACTCTCCTAGATTTCAGTCAAAAATCTTTCAAGAACATTGGATTGCTCTCCAGGAGAGAGAAGATTTTTGAGAATTTAGGAAACTAACCCTAGCATAGAAATGGGAAAGACTCAGACAGAGGAAATTACATCTCTTTGAATATTGCGGATATACAGGAGGAAATAAAATTAACTAGATAATGGAAAAGATTAGAAGATTCTTAGCAGACATGATGGAGCCTGCAAAGATATCAGAAATGAAGGTGGAGAGATTGTTCCCAGAGAACTGACAGAAATAATACATAGAACTGAGGAAAGGGTACAAAACTTGTGAAGCTGTGCATAGAAGGTATCTCTACCACCAGGCACTGACAGATCCACAGGAAGAGAAAGGAGAGAAGTTAGCCTGGAAATGATGGATAGGAAGAGAAGAAAGGGATTAGCTCAGAAGAAGCAGCAATCTGAGAAGGTAAAACAGGAAAGAGCAAGATTTACTCAATAGTTACAAATGGCAAAGCTATCAATTTCTGAGAGCTAGGAAGCTTACTTATTAGAAAGAGGTAGGCTAAGAAGATAAAGAAAAATAAAGGGCAAGATCAAAAGATTACAAGTGACAAAACAATAAAAAAGGGAGGGCACATGGCATTGGTAGCTTGGCCAAAGTGTTTTCATTTGTGAATTTTTTATTTGATGGCTGGTAGAAGATCAAGGAAGAGACATGCCTCAGTGTGTGTCATCTGGGGGTGGATCATGGCTGACTACTGAAGAGGAAGAGGAGCCAACAGAATTGCATGAGCCATCAAAGAGGATCTTGAAGAGGAATCAAGCAACCAAGTTTGAGACTTTTTGCTTTGGCTGGGAGCATATTTGCCAAGGTAAGAGTTGAACTGTTTGACTACATACTGTATGTTTGAAATGTGTGTTTCTTTAAAGAGCCTTTCACTGCTGTTGGGAACCTGCTGGATCAAATTACCACAAAATCCTATGCTCACAGCTACCACATGGCAATGGGAGTTCACAAATCCTGTATGTACAGGTGTGGCTATCATAATATGATTATTATAAAGATAAAATGTATTATAATATTTTCTTATTTTTCATATAGCAATGGCACTTAGATTTATATACTGCTCCACAGAGCTTTACAGTCCTCTCTAAGTGGTTTATAGAGTCATCATATTGCCCCTAATAATCTGGGTCCTCATTTTACCAACCTCAGAAGGATGGAAGATTGAGTCAACCTTGAGCAGGTAAGAATTGAACTGCTGGCAATGGCAGTCAATAGAATTAGCCTGAAATACTGCATTCTAACCACTGCACCACTGCATATTTCCTACATTCTTGTGGGGTTTTTTTTTTCATTTTGCACTTTTTAAAATATTTGTATGGTGCTTCTTGCCACCATAAAAAAAATAGAAGTTAGAATAAATGATTTCTAAAGTCTCTTTCAACCTTGTGATTCTATTATTCTTGTTCTATTCAATGATTGCTAGCTCAGAATCCAATCATTCTCTGCTTTTCACATAAGGACAGATAAATAAAAAAGTTTTAATGCAGTTCAAGCCTAACAAATTTCATCATTCCCTTCAAGTATTTATTTTAATTGGCTAACATGACTAATGAGCCTGTGAGAATAATTCTAGTCCTGAATTCCTTCTGATTTATCTGCTAATTAAAGAAATTTTAATGAACAAGTTATTTGAAGCCATACTTCTTATTTGGGAAATGTCTACAGTATACTTAGATTAATGGTTACTAACAGCCCTGAGAAAAACCAAGAAAGAACCAATGATCTATGAATTTTATGTTAGCTAATTTATTGTGGTCTGTTTGACTTCCACTTAGCATGTTATATGAGCAAAAACTGATGCAGTTTAAAACAATGATCTATGGCTTAACAAATTGTGATTCCAAAACATTCAAAAGCCATGTTTAAGTAGACCATAATATATGGCAATATGTGAACCTAAATCTTTTGCGATTAAAAAAAAATCATATATTCTTCTCCTGCTTACCTATGTTTCCCCACTTTTCTGGAATCTACCCATAGACAGCACCATAAGTAGAACATGTACCAATAATCTAAATTGGTACACACAGACATGCAGTAAATACAAGCCTATGGGGCTTCATTATTCAATGTCATTTATTTGACTTTGTATTAGAAACAAGCAATCGGAATAAATTGGGTATAATATGGCTCTGCCTCTGTTTGTCATTCATCAGCTGAGTAGCTGCACTCTGCAGGAAGGGAAACTTGTAAACAAGGCTTAGAGAACATTATAACAATTCAAATAGGAAATCACTAAGGTAAATTAGCCAAAGAAAAATATAGCAGAAGAATCAGCTGGAGCTACAAGTTGTCACTCTTGGCCACTGTGACTATTTGTGCCTCCAGTGAAAAAGCTAATTATGTGAGTCCCCTCCCTGCAAAGACTGTTGATGATTGCTTCTTCCTGACAATGGAACCCTACCCCAAACAAACTGTCTTCTGACTTTCTGGATGCAGAAACTACTTACAGTCTTCTCAAGAAACCAGTCTCATTATACTGGCCTTCATCAAATGTATTACTCACTCCAGCCAAGCCCTAGTCCAGTATGTGTCTGACTTCACTTGGTTTAGCTGAGGTGGATGGAGAAGCAATGCTGGGTCTAACTGCATAAAGTTTTACAAGGAGACATTGTAAACTAGAGCTGTATCAATCAAGTGGATCTTATTTATTTATCATATTTAAATACAGCTCATCTCACTCTCAGAGGGACTGAGTCTTGGCATGGATATCAAATTGTATCAAAGTTCTCCACAGAGTTCATGGGATCATGAATATCTTGTGGTTAAACAAACCCAAACCCTAGATTCTATTGGCAATGTTTGATTGAAAGAAATTGTTTAAGTATTCAAGTCTGTGTCTACTTTCAAGATACCAGGAATTAAATCCAAGAACTTCTGACCTCTCTGCCACTCAGATTCAATCTTCTTCCTACAGATCAATTTTATAACTTCAATTATAACACAGTGGAGACTCCAAGAAAAAAGTTGTACTGTTGTTTTGTTTTGCAGTTCAGCACAACTATAGCAACAAGATCAAGGTCAACTCAGCCTTCCATCCTTTCTAAGGTGGGTAAAATGAGGACCCGGTTTGTGGGGGCAATAAGCTGACTTTGTATAAAATATACAAAAGTATGAAGGCTATTGCTTAACGCATTGTAAGCCACCCTGAGTCTCCGGAGAAGGGCAGCATATAAAAATAAATAAATAAAAATAAATAAAAACTGAAGCCATTTTATACTTTAAAAGCATATTTTAAGATGCCAATCTGTTAAACAGGGTCAAGCAATTTGTTTGTACTAGCTTTGTAATTCACATTATTGCTTTGGTGGTATGTAATTTTTCTTGCTTTAGTTGATAATATTGTGATGACTTTGATCAAGCAGACAGTGATGTCAGCCTTCCTCATAGTTCACTGAATCATGCTTACTCAGTTCACACAATTTCCTGGATTTATGTAACAGTGAAAATAGTATGTGGACCAGGTTCATTCTACACTCATGAAGTTAAAATATAGTTGTTTAGTTTAATTTATTTTGCTAGAGCTGGCTGCTGATAAGTCCTGGAGCAATCGTGAATTTCCTGTAGGTCCTAAGGCAGTGCAAAAATTCTTGTTGCACATTTTTTGTCTATATTGTTCCTGGCTGTATGAGTTTCTGGGCTGTCTTTTAAAATATGAAAAGAAAGGTAAAGAATGTTTCTAAATGGTCATGCAAGTTACAGATCTCTAGACTTGTATAAATTAGATCCTACAGAAGAGTATATATGAGAACATATCCAAGGCACCTACTCCTGGAATTCATTTACAGTGATGTTAATCTTGCTATGGCTAAAATGCAATACATAAAACTTTACAACAATTACATATGTAATCAAACAATTCACTTGGTCAAATTCATATATGTGCACAAAGTGTATAGAATGAGCAGTTTAAAAAAAGTGTTTTGATAAATTTTTGCCTGCAAATCTGTTGTTGTGACTTTAGCTTTATTCTGGTTTTTGTACAAATAAGGTAGTCCTTGAGGCCAAAAATTTTGTTGCAAAGTGAGACAGTTAAGTGAGTTTTGCCCCATTTTACAACCTTTCCTTCCTGATTAAGTGAATCACTGCAGTTGTTAAATTAATAATACAGTTGTTGAGTGAATCTGGCTTCCCCCATTTGCTGACTTTGCTTGTCAGAAGGTTGCAAAGGATGATCACCTGACTCCGAGACACTGCAATCATCATAAATACGAGTCAGTTGCCAAGCACCTGAATTTTGATCACATGACCAGGGGGGTGCTGCAACCATCGTTAAGTGTGAAAAATGACCTTGGGTTACTTTTTTCAGGGCCATTGTAACTTCCAAAGGTCACTGAATGAACTGTTGTTAAGTTGGACACTACTTGTATTTGCATACAGCATTGAACACATGAAGCGAGCTGAAAGAGAAATGATTCCTGAATGCATGCATTTGCACGTGCACATTTGTATAAAGATCACAAGAACTCAGGTTCTCTTCATGCTCTGGAACGCAGGTGGCAGGGCCGGCAAAATCCTTCTTTTCCTCTAAATAGGAATTGTCTGCTGTTTGCAATTCTATTGTCGCTGAGGACAGATCCGCTGAGGATCATACAGATTTATTAAGTTCAGCATCTAAAAACTGCCCCACATTTATTCATTCCATTTAGTTAGAGCTGTATGCATAGAGCTGTGTCTGTAGAGATTCTCAGTCATCCAGGTCATGGTTGTCCCAAAGGTGCTTTTTCAGGAGGCAACTGGACTTTCTTGTTCTTTCTTTTGAAGACGTTTCGCTTCTCATCCAAGAAGCTTCTTCAGCTCTGAGAGGATAGTGGGGAATGGAAGGATTTATATTCCTTGCAGACAGCTGGTAATCCTGTCAGAGCTGCCTCCTGAAAAGACAAATTGGGAGAGAGCTGTGTATGCAACAAAATTTCATTTTAATGTATGCCGATTAGTGTACATTGAAAGTGAGAATAAACTTATTCTGAGTCTGTAATTCAGTCAAGACTTCGGGCTGTTCCCACGTTAAGACATCCACCATAAATAAAAACGATAAAACGCCCACAGTCCATTATTAAATCGGGGAGGGAAAAATGAAATAAATTCACACACCCGACCTCAAAATCAATACATTCCACCTCGATGACGTCGTCTCAACGCACAGTTGCTCTTCGGAAGAGTTCCGTGTTGGCGTCTTCCTAAAGAGAAGAGGGCAAGTGTGACTTCAGGGCGGACGACGACTTCATAGGGCAAACAGTGGGGTGTCCTAAGGCCTGCGGAGGAGGAAGTCGTTTTCACTCGCGCCGCCAGGTGGCGCCTTCCCGTGGGGGTGGCGGAGGTGGGTGGAGAAGAGGCGGATTTTATCGCGGCTGGGAGGAACCCGGGCGGAGCAGGCAGTTCTGCTTGCCGTTTCTTTTGCACGGGCTTTTGGTTTGCTATGTTCTCGGCATGAGCTTTCCGGGGTTTTCACTTTGTCCTCGTTTTCGGACTTTGCGTGTGCCGGTCTTCTAAACGCCAGTGCGCCCCGCGTCTTTCCTGGGGGAGAGTCTCCTCGCCGGCTTCCTGCGCTGGGGACCATGTCGGAGATTCGGAGCTACGGGGAGAAGAAAGAGATGCTGCTGGAAGGCGGCGGCGGCGCGTACCTGGAAGAAGGACAGTGCGACTCGGGTATCGATTTTATCCGTTCCCTGCATGGCCAGCCTGGGGAAGCGGAGCCCCGATCCCCGGCTGCCGGAAGGATCCCGCTGGATAAAATCCCTGGATCTCCCAGTCAAGGCAAAGAGGAACCGGCAGACGAAAGACTTGATTCGAGTTACGGCTCTTCCTCTATTGTGGAGTCCTTAACTGGGCTGCAAGGGGAGCCTAAGCCTGAGAAGGAAGAGGAGGAGGAGGAGGAGGAGAGGCTCAGGCAGCAGCTGCTGGAGATCCTTGCTTTCCTATCCGAGGACGGAGACACGTGAGTGACTCCCGATACGTCCCTATGTGCGGTTGACAGCCGGACGATGTGTGTTTCGCGTTTGCTGCGCGATTCTTGCATCCGCGTCTGCTTATTTGGCGTAACGAACCTTATTCCTGGAACCTGGGAGTTTAAGGGAGGGGAAACCGTTTGCAGTTTTATGGGAAAAGGGGGGGGGGGAAAGGTTGCTTCCCGCACTACATTTGTGAGTTGGCCATACAAACAGGGACCCTGCCTGCAATCACCGGCAGGGTGATTGCACGTGTTTATCTGCAAGATGGAGAATACAGGAAAGACACAGGCAGGGTTTCAATACATTATGAGTTGGGTGGACTCATCTGTTTTTTTTAAGGTGACCCAATAGTTACATAGAACTATTTATTAAGAACTATTGTGTCTGCCTGGGGGTAAAAAAGAATAAGTTATGGTTTTTCACCCTGTATATCAAAATACATATTTTGTCAGTTCTCATCATACAGTAAGAAGCCTAGTCAATATATGCATAACTGTATTGAAAACACACACACACACACACACACACACACTGAAGCTGAGGTTTGGAACAGATGATAGGAAGAGAAAAAATTATGAAACCCTGTTCCTCCTCTCACAACTTGCCATGTATTTACTAAATTTCTTGAGCCAGTGCTGGCTTGTGCTTCTGATAGGAGCTTGCCTATATGTTGTCAACCTGTCTGTATAGCTTGAAGTGGGAAAGTTGCTGAGGAACTCTACACAGGGTGATCTGATCCAAAACTCTCTCCTAGCTAGGCATCCTTTGGAGAGATGGATGGGCTCCTAGCAATAGTGAGTTGGGGCTGTGATTGCAGGTTCTTCTGACATTTGCTCCAGTTCCATTCTCTTACTGTAAAGAAGGAAATATATTCACTTTAATGATCATTGCCATTAATCCGCTGATATTTTTATACCCTTCTTTGTGGGCTAAGACCTGGGATTTGATAATTAGATCCCCTTTTCTTCTCTGTTGTTATCCTGCAGATTTGATTAATCTTTTTTCCCCTCCCCCTGAATGGGCCTGTTACATGTATTGCTAGTCTTGCATGCCTAGAAGATAGGGGGTTTTGTTCCTTAGCACATGGAAAATGCAACACGGGCTTCATTTTTGGTTTCCGTAAACAGAACAAATAATGTGGTGAAGAATGGTATATTATTAAATACCTTTTTTATGTCACTTCCTATCCAAAAGCATTTGCACAGTAACAATACATTGAACTAATAAATAAACTACATGCAGCTAAATAGAAAAGAGAAACAAACATTTCAGAGACGATCTGAATGAAGAAAGAGCATGATAACTGGGTCTGGCATGATGTATAATCCCACATATCCGGAGGGTACCACATGGGAAAGATTGTAATACTTTCTTACTTGCTTCTGCCCCAAGTCTCTTCTCCTTTCCCTTGCCTGCTTAGTTTCCTCTTCCTTCCCCAGCATTGCTAATGTGATAAATGGGAGGGAGGGGGAGCTGAGTGAATCACAAATCATGAGTGGAGAAAAGCGTTGTGGGAAGAAAAAGCAGCTGCTGTTGCTTCCACGGTTCCTTCTTGCTTTATTTTCTCTACCAGGAAGGGGACCAAAAAAAAAAGCAAGCAAATTCCTTCCAGGAGTAAAATCAATGGGAACAGGGTGCAGGCAAAGATCATGTATCATAAGAGCTTCAGGCTCTTGTCCTCATCTTCTTTCTGCCTGAAATTCTTCCTAGGCTGCCTCCCTCTGCTTTAGACTTTCTCAGTGGCAGTCTGTGTCCTGAAATTCAGAACTAACTTTGCTTATTGCTTTGGGCATCTCTAGTTTTCCTAGTTGTGCTAACCTTCTGCAGTGCTTTTCTCTAGCTATGCAGAGTTTTTGATTGTGGCTGAGCTGGCTGGTTACAAGAAGTCTGTTAGTCAGCACCTCAGAGGGAGATCAGGTTGGGAGAAAGCTAATGGAAGAAACGGAAACGATGGGGATGAAGGCTTCTAGCCTGATCAGATATTTGCTCATGATGGGGAAACTTGGGGGGAATTTGCACTTTTCCTTCCTGTGGTCTTTCCTAGTTTAAGGAACTGGGACAGCTGACCTCCAGGAGCAAATATAAAAGATATTCTCATTATAAAAGATATCCTGCTCTGCAAAATGCGAGTTACCTAAAGTTGTGGGTTGCAGGGTCAGAGTTTGGGGGCGGGATGGGGGCAGGCTGGGCTTCTCTCTTCCCAGCCCAATGTAAGAGATTTCATTACTCCTTTCTTCTTTAAACTTTAAAAAATGTGTATGTGTGTTAAAGAAGTATGGGAGTGTGTGTCTTATTTCTCCCTGTTCCATTGAAAAGAGTAGCTGCTAGTTCGGTGGGTCTTTGGGCATCCGGCCTAGCAAAGCTAAGATTCTTTTTATTCACTATTTCACAGCAATGGACAATTATCACTTCCTCATGACAGTTCTAATGATGAAAGAACAGGAGTTTGTGGCTTCAGATCTCTAGTTCCTGTTTTCTTTTTAATAGTTCCATAATGAAGCTGGTTCTTGAAGACTAGTGTTTGCAGCTGATGTCTCTGGAACAGGTCAGCTACATAGCACAGCTGGCTGGGGAATTGTGGGAGCTGAAGTCCACAAGTCATAAGTTGCGATACCTTTACTTTAAATAATATTATTTTTGTATACATATGTAAATCAATCTGATTCTCACACATGTGTAAATGTCAGATGATGATCTTTATGTATGAATGGCAGATGGAAACAAACTATTTAGTATAGGTTTACACTTAGTTTATTTTAGTATGTATTCCATTGCCCTTTCAAAAGGTTTAAAGGTTATTAAATAGTTCCTGTGGAAAAGGGAGGAACTGCAATGGCAAGGCAAGGAGGCAAGTGAGTAGCCCTTGACTTATAACAATTCATTTAGTAACCGTTTGAACATTGACTGTTTTAACGGCACTGAAAAAAATGACTTATGTCCATTTTTCACACTTACAACCTTTGCAGCATCCCCATGGTCACATGATCAAAATTCAGACGATTGACAACTGATCCCTATTTATGACGGTTGCAGTGTCATGTGATCCCCTTTTGCTACCCTCTGACATGCAGAATCAATGGGGAAGCCACTTAACAATCGTGTTACTAATTTAACAACTGCAATGATTCACTTAACAAATGCGGCAAGAAAAGTTGTAAAATGGGATGAAACTCATTTAACAAATTTCTCACTTAGCAACATAAATTCTGGGCTCAGTTGTGGTCGCAAGTCAAGGACTATTTGCATAGTCAAAGATTGCCTTTTCAGGAACCATCCCATTTAGTTTGTAGTAAGTGGCTTTCTCTCATAGACTTACCCTTTCCTATTAAAACCACAGAATTTTAATTTAAGGTATGTTAGAAGTATGAAACGTGGCTGATCACAAATTATTCTGAGCATAGAATCTAGAAGTTATCTTGCAAGCTGTTTGGGCAACACCACCCCAAGGCCAGTAAACCAGTTTGCCAGCAGCCATCTTCTATTTACAGCTAATAGTAGAGATGGCCATGTTCTTGTCTTAACACACTAAAACAAGTAAGGGAGCAGCAACTGAAAACATTGGGGAAAATATGGAAAGAAAGAATGCCATGCAGATATTTGCACGGACAGCATTTTTGCAGACTATTACAAATTGGTGAAATTGTGGAAAAACAATGAGAGTTACCAGGTAACCTTCAACGACAAGATGTGCAACTATGATTCAAACCTTGAGAGGAGACAACCGATTATAATTTTAATTGTAATTACAATGCCAGGATTCAGTGCGTGTGAGTTTGTCTTCCAACTGGATATCCAGTGCTTGTTGACCAAAGATATGGAAGACCACTTGCTTTTCTCCCTCAGAAATTTAAAGTCTTCGATCAACTCCAGGAAGGAGAAGAAAACCATGGACAGTTGTCCCAATGCCTGAGGCTAACAATGGAATTGGATCAGTGGTGAAATCCAAATTTTTTTACTACCAGTTCTGCTGGAGACCCAGAGAGCCATCTTAGTGCGGCTCTTTGCTTTGCTTCAGAGAGAGGATTAGTCCATGCAGCCCCCACTTAACAAAACATGGGATTCCCCCAACTAAGTAGTAATTTGAGAAGCTGCGTGGAAACTGTTGTAGCTATTTTGAATATGGCCTGAACTCTAGTGGGAGGAGGAGGTGTCAGGGAAGCCTAACACTATAGCGTGGGGTTTTTGTCCTATGCTCTGCTGACTGGTAGGAAATCACATGACTGCTGCTCTAGAATGAAGGTGGAGTAGAAAATGGGAAGGTGACAGAGTTTATTTAAATCTCCCTTCAGGGGCTTTTTTTCAGTTTTCATGTGGTACTTCCTATACATAACAGTACTTAAGGCTGATTTGACTTCTGTGCACCAAGTGGAACATATGGTTGGGAGAGATGTGCACGGTTTTACTTAGCCTTTATGGTAAGCACATATTCCGGTTAAATACTTATTTCCATGATATGTTTGTGACTGAAATAATCCTGACTACCTTCAGTGAATCCCTTCGTTTTTCTAACGTAAACTAAGCATGTTACTTCTGGGGAAAAAATTAGCAATCTTCTTACAGTAGTTGAAGTTGTCATCTGGACTTAGCTGAGCAAGCAGATAGAAACCGTGATGTATGAGCACCAGGTGATACCTGGAGGTTTCGAAACATGACTGAAAGTTACGTGGGGAAGATTGTACCATTCATACTCAAATTCTGACCATGAATGTGAAGAGGGGATAATTTTGGGTAGCTGTCCCCCCACCCCACCCCACTGCATGTTTGACTCAAGGAATTCTTCACATTACTGTCAATGAGAATGCGCTGTTCTATGAAGAATGCTAATATGCTAGTATTTACATGCATATTTTGGTACATGTCATATGTAGTCTCTTCACATGGCTAATAAATGTGTGGGTGGTAAGAGGAAAACTCTAACCTCACTATATTTTCAGTGCATGAAGGATTCATGTAAAATCCTTTAGAAATTCTCAAGTCATGTATACAA